TCCTTTCGATTCAATAAGACCTAAACATCGAGATTTCATGGATTTAATTAAATTAACTAGAACGACCATATCGACTTTGTTTCATTCTTCGTGCAGAAACTTGTTCAACTCTTTGAGAGATCTGTTGGTCTTCGTTTCTCTACACGATGTTTGATGGTTGACTACAGGTTTTCAATCGGATTAACATCCGGGCTGTTGGATGGCCAGTCAATTATTTATTTCTGGAACTTCTTTATCTAAGAATTTCTGCACTATCTGACTTTTAGTTTTTGGATCATTATCCTGTGGTAATCGCCAGCATCGATTAAATTGATTTTTGGCTTTTGATCATAAGATGGTCTTGAGGATGTGAGCGTAATAAGCACCATTCATAATAATTGTGAATGAATGACAGCTGACAAGACCCTTGATGCTGAAACCATCCCACACCCTATTCGAGAGAGATTTCCTGTGATTCTTACGCTTTCTCTTCTAGGTAATATTCCTGCTAATGCTAAATGGAAACAGAACGGAGTGACTATTGCTGGAGATCACGGGCAAGGGGATGCCACTAATCAACTCAGCTTGCCTTTTGGTCTCTTCGTTGATGATGATCAAACAGTGGTTATTGCTGACTACTACAATCATCGTATCATGCAATGGAAGAACGGTGATACAACGAATGGACAAGTTGTTACTGGCGGTAACGGCCAAGGAAATGGATTGCACCAATTGAATCATCCAACAGATATATTAATTGACAAAGAGACGGATAGTCTCATTATTTGTGATCGAATGAATCGACGAGTTGTACGATGGTCTCGTCGTAGTGATACAACACAAGGTGAAATACTCATTGACAACATCAAATGTTATGGAGTAGCTATGGATGAGCAGAGATATCTCTACGTTTCTGACATTGAAAGACATGAAGTAAGACGATATCAATTGGGTGAGAAGAATGGCACTCTCGTAGCTGGTGGTAATGGTAAAGGTGATGGACTCAATCAACTTAACTTTCCGACATATCTTTTTGTCGATCGACAACGGAATGTCTACGTATCGGACGAACAAAATCACCGTGTAATGAAATGGAATAATGGTGCAAAAGAAGGTATTGTGGTCGCTGGAGGACAAGGCCAAGGGAATGCTTTGACACAATTGTCTTATCCTCAAGGAATCTTTCTTGATACGTTGGGTACACTCTATGTAGCAGACACGTGGAATCATCGTGTAATGCGTTGGACTCAAGGAGACAAGAAACAAGGCACTGTAATTGTGGATGGAAATGGCGAAGGAGCAGGAGCAAATCAGTTCAACGGCCCCGTTGGTTTGTCTTGCGATCGACATGGTAATCTCTATGTCGTCGATTATAATAATGCTCGCGTTCAACGATTTTCTATCGAATAAGATTTGTGAATTGTTTTTTCTTTGTTCGCTTCTTTTTCTAACGTTATACTTTGAAATAAAAGAACAAAAAAAAAAGAATTTTTTCTTTTACTCTTTCGCTTCAAAGAAAAGAAAAAACCTAAAATATAAGATTACTTCATATGTTTCTTGTCTTCTTCTCTTATTTATTTATTTGTTAAATGAAAAGAAATGAATTAAATAAAAGAATTTGTTATTTTTCGCAAAAAAATATTAATTATTAAAGTGAAAAATAAATTGTGTCGTTTTGAAAATATTTATCATTATAATCAAAAATAAAATTTGTTTTATTTTCATAAAATATTTATGATTGAAATGAAAATAAAATTTTGCGTTATTTTGAAATTATTTATTGTTAACATAAAAATATTTATTGTTGAAATTGAAATGAAAAGAAAAAAATTGAGTTATTTGAATAATGTTTATTTGAAAAATCAAAAAAAAAATACAAGTTACAAAAAAAGCTGTTAGCTCAATTCCTGTGGGATTAAAAATGTGAAACACGATAAAGCTCGTTTTCTGGAATCCGTCTACCACGGTCTGTGGCGGTCTGTGGAGGTTCTCTGCCACGGTCTGTGGAGGTTCTCTGCCACGGTCTGTATCTGTATTATGGTGTATGAAGTCTCTAGAGACAATCACAGGCAGTTACAGAGAATTCAGAGACCATCACAGACAGTGACAGAGACCTCAGAAACCATCACAGACCGGGGCAGAGAAATTAATTAATTAGCTAACTAATTAATTAATTTCTCTGTCCCTGTCTGTGTGGGGGGGGGGTCCAAATTTCTACCCTATATACTTCAACACTCCTTTCAGATCGTGTTTCAGAAAATAAAACAACTGAGTGAAAAAATATATACTTAGATTTGTGTTCGTTTGGATTGAATTGAATTGAATTGAATTGTTGAATGGAACTAAAACATAAAAATAACAATTAATTTTATTTGTTTCGAATAAAATAAGTGAAAGGAATTATGTTTACGTTGCTGTTGAAGAAATAGAAATGAACTAAAACGAAATAAGCAGAAATGAATTGATTGGAATGAGAAAAACTTTTTGTTTTGCTTACCAGCTAATAGTCGCTCCTGCGACCAAGAACTACCTTGGTGGTGCCATAGAGAACCAAGGCTCTTCACGTACAAGCATAGATCTAGCATGTATAGAACATACAACAGGAAGATCTATATGCGGCCTGTACGTGCTATGGGCACCAAGATAGGCTTGGCCAGTTTCATGCCGATGTATGGAAGGCTTCCGTAGGACGTAAAAATATATACATATTTACAAAATTATACTTACTTTTTGTGTATTACTAAAATAGAAAATAAAAAACTAAAATTTAAACTAAACTGAGAATAGAAAAACAATTATTATTATCATATAAAAATTAAAATAAATAAATGGGATAAAAAGCTGAGACAAACGAAAACAAAATTAAAAAAATAAAGCTAATACTTACCTGTGATATTGAACAATGGTAAGTATGAATACAAGCTAAAATAGTTAAAAAATAAAATATACATGAATGTACGCAAAAGAGAAAGAAAGATGGGGAATGATTTCTAACGTTAAAAATCATTGCTATTTATAGCCAATTTTTGTTATTCGTAATAATTAGACAATTGGTAAGCAATCAAGATCAAATGAATTTCTTTTCTATTTGTAAAATTTAACATTCCGCTCACTACATAAGTGGTCTTTGATGGTTTTGATCGATTGCATAGCAATCGATCGTAAAGATCACAAGCATTCCTAAGAGTGACAAAAAACAAATATTGTAGTATTGACTAGACCGTTAATTGACCTTTTATGTTGTCGTGTTACATCATATATGCACCAACAACAATATTGACGATCTTTTATATTTATTTTTCTAGATGATATATTTTACATGTATACAGAAATTGCTCAACGTTTATGACTTATTTTTCAATTAAATCTTGATATGAACATTCAGTTTCTATATTTAAAAACAACAATAAAGAACAAGTATTGAAAAAGATGAAATCTATATAATAATGTTGAGTGTCTGTCTGGTCCCTCTCCCATTGGTCACTTTTTCAACCAATCAGATTTCGTTGCTTACTGATTGGCTGCTTAAACTAACCAATCACATTTCGAGGACAATTTTCTCCGTTATTTTCTCAGTGAGCCATACCTTCAAGGACGTCAACTAAGAGAGAAGGCCGACGACTACAAATACATTGGTAGAACCACATTGCCAATACTTATCCGCGAAGTAGAAAACTCCTGCTTATTAGCGGGTAAGGAGAGAGAGAGCTTTATGTTCGATTTCTTTTTATTTATTTCAAATCGAAAACATACATCACGCATACGCGCACACAACTACTACATGTAAAAACCATCGATATATATATATCTATATATCTATATACATATCTATATATATATCGAGGGTTTGGAAAAAAAAGAAATATAAGTGCAAAATAAAGAATGACCTGAGATAGTTCAGATCAAAGAAAGAAAAAAATGTATAACGAGGGTTAGCCGCTAACACTGCTCAATTCTGATTGGCTTCTAGAATTAACCAATCAGATTTCGAAGAGCATTTTCTCGGTTGGCTTCCCGGTGAGTGACACATTTAAGGAAGTCAACTGAGGGAGCAGGTCAAGGGCTACAAATGCAATGCTTAAAACCATCTCACTATCGCACAATCTGGAGATAGAAAAGTGATCCGCTATCCTGATTGGACGTTACTTATGACCAAATCATATTTCGAGAAGCTTTTTCTCAGATATTCTCTGCATAAGACAATATCCCGCTCTTGGAACCTTCTGGTGTGGTGAATGTGAGTGATAGACGCCGTCAACAGTGTAGTGGATGACGAGTGAACGTGCAGAGAATTCTTTCACTGATCTACCCTCACCTACTCCGACATTCGCACCAGTCCTCATTGGTATTCAGTCTAAAGTGCTAACTTACAGGAACGTTCTCCGCGTACAGAGCTCCGAAAGACAACATTTGGAGTTGGTCCATAGAGGTAATAGCTAATCACAGCGAAGAAGGTTGAGAGATTGTGCATATCAAAGTCCACGGCATTGAGGAGATGGGTTTTTAAGAGTAGCGTGCATGTTGCACGGGGCCTCGCTAGTTATTTTTTATTGTGAAAATTTTTAATTTAAAAATGTTTTTTTATTTTTCATAAAAATTTTAATTTTATAGGTTTAAGTTTTTTTTTGTGCAAAAATATTTTAAATTCACACTAAAAGTACAAATAAAATGAAAACCTAATCTATGTCATCTTTTGTAGAAATTGCGAAAAACTTCGACGTAGTTATGAGTAACTGGGATTTTTTCACCGTAACTACCCGTAATTGCGATTTTTTCATCGTAGTTACGCGTAGTTACGTCGCAATTTTCCGCAATTACGGGTCGCAGTGCGATCGCAGTTGCGCCGTAACTGCGCCACAGTTTCATCGTAATGAAACACATGGGAATATTCAGTTTCTAATTATCTTTAGTAACATAAACTGGCTAAATATTCAGATGAATGACATTTACTTTCTTTCTTTATTACTAACAAAACTTATTAACTGACATAGAGTTGACATTTTTCTTATAAGACGAGCCACTCACATTTTATTTGAGCTAAATAATATCTTTCTATTCATCCACCAACGGAAAATATTCATAGTTATACAGAGAAAGGCACAACCACTTCATTGGTATGCCAAAAGTATCTCATACTAATGAGTATGAACCCCAAGATTTATTTCTGAAAAGACAGCAACAAGCAAAGTGATGATGGAATTCAAAGACAAGTGGAAATACGTACAAGAATGGAATAGTAGGAAGAATATGAAAAGAAATAATTAACAAGTAACGTTCATCGACATCAAAAGTCTATTCACTGAGCCCTGGACTGATACGGAATACTACATGAAATTCACCCACTGCCGAGAAAATTAGTTGTTTGTCTCAGAAATAGATCCTGAAATTTTGAAGAGGCCACCGTATAAGTTGATTGGAGACGCGAAGGAAATCGAATAAATGAAAACGGGACAAGAATCAGACGAAAATCAATGATAAAAAGTATACACAAAGGCAAACCGAAATACGAAGAGGGGGCAACGGCCAAACTACGGTTTGGAGATGCGGGAGAGAATCTCAGACCCTCTTATCCATAACGAACGTGTTTGAAGAATCATGTCAGCGGGCTCGAAGGTTTTCAGAAGTGGGGAAGGGAAGGGTTAGTTCTCACCTAGCTACTAACTTGCGTTACTCAGAGATTTTGCGATAGGAGCCTCAGAATTCGGTAGGGGGCTCCTTCTGCCTGGCTCCATTGGTTCCGCCACTGAAGGGATGTATTCCACATTTCCCTCCCACGAATCCACGCATGGGAATCACCATAAAGATGGTCATTTGTGCCAGTGTTAAAGACAGACAGACAGACACAGGTGAATTACGGTTTGCAGACTCTATCCTTTCAGTCAAGGGAAAATATAAAAGATTGAAAATCATTGAAAGGTTATACGGCTTAGAAAGAAAAATAACAAAAGACGTTATTATATCTTTGAACTGCAGCAACTGATGAACTTTGACATTTTTAGCTTTGAAAGATATGTTCACAATTATAGATAGGTATGACTGAATTTCTATAAGATTGAATAAACAGGAGGATGCAAAAAATAGTCATCCATCGATAACAGAAAATGACTCATCATTTCATACTATATGAAACAAACTTCAGTAATGTATACCCACAAGCAAATCATCATTCGAGTTAAAATTAACTATCGCTATATAGAAATGTGCTTTTGTGATAATGGTAAAACAAATATTCATTTCATGGTTGAGACTTCAATTTGTTTAGATAATCTTTATTCATCGATTTTTCATGGATTTCAAAATTAAGAACAGTTTGACTATTATTCAATTGTAATTAATATACAACTTCAATATTAGCTCACTACACCCGTACCTACATGTGCACTTACTGAAAGCTCATGTCCTAAGGAAATAAATCGGGACTGGACGCTAAATTGTATACAATTGTCTGAATTGATTCTGGTAATAGTGTCAAAGACAGGTAACCTTGATTGGGATCTAGTATTTGCACACTTTGCACATGTGTCGGATCATGATTTAAAACAACAATTACCAATTGATTCTTTAGAGTTAAGAAACTAACGATTTTCAATGGGACAACTAAAGCGAACAGTTTTTCTTCTTTTAATACCTCCATGCCAATACGTATGGAATCACGAGAAATAAATTTCGAAAAATGTCCCATTGCATAATACATGGGATTTTTATAGAAAACAGTTCCACTTGTTGTATTCGCAATGATAGGTGAGTCTACGAAATTCTGAACATGATTTGGACCTCCTTCTAAATCCAAGACAATATTCCAATCTGTCCAACCGGACGCTCCTACAAGTAAATCACCAATAATTGATAAAGCATAATGTATTCCACGTTTCCACATTCCTAACCGAGGTCCTTTATCGATTTTCATATAACCTTCACAAGCTTCTGAAGGAAAGTAGAAAAATTGTGGATACTCTAATCTTGTAATGAATATTTCATAAAAATCAGGAAATGTCATATCCTCGGTCGCGTACCAATGAACAGCAATTCCATCGATGTATGGAATAATACTCGTATTACGCTTAATCATTTTATCAATCTTCGAGAAAAGTAATACCATATCATCATCTTAGATCATAATTTTAACTAACGGATGATTTTTCCGAAGTTCTGGCCCTAAATCTATTCGAATAAAATCTGCTAATTGTTCAGTTGTATAAAATAATCCTTCAAAATCTCTGACTTGACTGTACTCATTTTGTGTGGTAATTCCCCAAATAGGAATTCCTTCTAACTCATAGGCTTCAATAAATTTACTAAAATAATGAGCCCATGCTTTATGGTATTTATCACCAGGAACGCCATTTAAAGTGCCAACACTTTGGCTGGCATTCTTGAGCCAGTCCGGTCCATTCCAAGGTGAACCGAAAAAATATATTTTTTCCGTACTCATGGCTAGAGGTGTCAGCCGAAGGGTTGAACGGCGACGGCGGGCAACAATTTTCAATTTTTGAAGATTTCCAACGGCTCGTTATTTGAGTGAGTAATGTCTTCAGCGGCGGCTGCTACAAATTCTTAAAATCTTTTTCACAGCGGCGGCGTCGGCTGATATTTGTAAGTTCTTATGTGGCGGCGGCGGCTCAGTTAAGAATTCACTGACGAAAATTAAAAGAAAAATGTTCGATTCGATCGCATATGTATTAATGTCAGCGGCGGCAAATAACGCTATCAAAAATTTTTATCTCTTGCAGCGGCGCAACGGCTAAACTTGTTTTTTCGCAGCGGCGGCTCCCACAAAATTCTTAAAATTACTACTAATTTGGTGGCTGTGGCGGCTCATATTATTGAAAAATCGGCTGCTGCGGCGGCTCAGCCGTATGGCTGACGCCTCTACTCATGGCAATAGCAGATTTAATAAACGGAATCTTAATTGGTAAATCCATAGAAATTGAGAAATCATTTAATTCAAAATCATTCGGAACTGCATCATACGTGTACGAATATGTACTAAAATCGCAACCAACCATTGGAATACGTCCAATATTATAGGATATACCTCCCTCACCGAAATACTGCGACAATAATTTGCTTTGCAACTTATCAGAAATTTGACGAGCGACTATGCCAGATGCATCAGTAAATGCACCACCGAAACCGAGAATAGTTTGATATTTCGCTGTATAGTTTATTCTTAAGAGGCTGCTTATGTTCGGATTCATTTGTGATTGAAATTCTAAATTAGTTAATCTTGTTAATCGATGAGTTCCTGCAAGTTCCGAGGTACTTTCGTATAATGCTGCTTGTGAAGTCGGTATAGTCCCCAATGGAGCTATAGTGTCACAATAATCTTCTGTGCATCGACAAACACTACCATATTTAAATTTTACAATATCGCAAGCATATTGAGCATGCATAGAACCAATCCATAAAATAGAACATATCGCAGCATAGCTGACTAAATGATTCAACATTGTCTTGATGCTATATGAAAGTAAAGATATTTTACTAAGCTTGTTCCTAAAATTGCCTCCAATTAATTTTCTGAATTCAAAAATCAAAATATTATTCGGAGAACCGAGAGAATGAATTAAAAGACAATCATATCATTGCCTCTTGTGACTGGTGCAATTCAATTTACACTGTAGATTTAAGGGACCAAAAGAAATGTGTCTTTTATCTATTATCTTTTTGTTAAAGATCTTTTCATCATGATTACTTTGTAGATAAATGACAGTCACGTTTTACTTTTTTCGTAATAAAATATTTTTGTGTTTATTCATAGCCTCCTACCTTAGCTTATGAGCCCACTGCATATCATTTCTCAGGCATGACTCTTTATTAAACATATTAATTATTTTGTTATTATGATTATTCAACAATGAATAAATATGAAAAGACTTTGATATTGATTCTCAACATGCCTCTTTTTCCTCTCTGCTAAAGAACATAAAGAAAAAATAACAAGAAGCAATTTTTCGTCGCTTTTGTGGCTACATGTCAATAGCTGTCCAATGCATGTCCTGTGGCAATTATTTTCGTGGCGGAGCAAGCATCGTTCAGTTTGCTGGTGAGAATTGATAAACAACAATTCAAATGGTGGAATTCCCTCAGATGGAACAAGTGCATCTTCCTATTAAGATCATTAATCTGTCGCCTTGTCAGTATGTAATCAATAAAGAATGTTCCACTGTGTTAGCCCCTATAATATACTACACGAAAAAGAAACAATAATGCAAATTCTAGGATGTTTATGGCGTCATGACGTTTTCATCACACAACCAAGCTATTTTTCCTTCAATTTAAAATGAATCCTTGAACATGCGAATAGAAAACACGCTTTTTTTAATGGCAAACCGCTTTGAACCTCCGCTACATCTTTTTCCGTAGCACAGTGATACCTACAATCTAATACATGATAATGAGATAAATTCTCGTGCGTGTACTACTTTTTAGTTTTGCCGTTATTAAAATTGGAAAAAAAACACAATTTACATGATAACGAATAGATACCAAGCGAAATCTACTAACGTACATATGATCAGAATATTAGTTTGTGTTTATTGAACTGGAATATGTTCATATATGTTAGCAGAGAATATTCCATGTCTGATTATTGAAGAAATGATGCATAGCTGTCACGCCACCGGCTTCCTCGAATCGCTTTTTGATACAAATCGGAAACGGTTCCTGCAATGACTATCAGAAATTAAAATGCAAATGTAATGACATTGATATGAACTAGGCAAATTTCAAATATAACTCACAGTGAGCGCTGTTATTGGTGGAAATTCAGTTCGTTTCGTAAATTCAAATTTACCTATAACAATCCAACCGAAACCTGCCAATTTGTTTTTGTTATACAAGAGAAAAGCTGGAAAAAACTCATCACAGCTTTTATCTAGCCGATTGTCATACCAATAATGATATCCTAATATCAATATCAAATAAGTATAATAATTTATCTAATTTCATTATTAGACATACCCATCGTTGGTAAACATGCCCCTTTAGCCCATTTTGTATTGCTCACCGTATTATCGTACAATGGCATTTCAATTGAATCACGAATTGGATTGCTGCCATTTTGTAGCCATAGTCCAGTCCCTGTGCCGTCATGGTTGAGATGAGATGGATTTCTACCTGATTGACAAATAGTACGTGGGTCGACAAAGTATGCAGTAAGAATGTAGAGATAGACACCAGCAATTGTATCTCTATTAAACATTTTCTGAGTGAAATATTGGTAAAACTTGTCAGTAATCATTGAAACAGGAATCTTTTTTGGTAGAAACATTTCATGCATAACAGTTAAGAAAAAGACGAGGCAACAACTTACTCCCATTTGCACCCCGGCAATAGTACCTTGATTATCGTAAATTAAAATAGCACCATAATCATTAAGTTTCATAAAGCGTTGCCCAAGAAAGTTGCCTATGATAAGATGTTGATTATAAAAAAAGAAAGCAAAATATCTCGATATTGCTATTCACCTTCGCATTGATCTGAAATCTGCTGGTAATTATTCTGTTTGGCTTCGGCAATAGTTCGTGGTTGTTTAACAAAATATTCCGGATCAAATGAATTCGGGCCCCATGTAACTTTGAAAGAATCCCATTTAGATTCTAAATCATCAGCACTGAGTAGCAAGCCACAAGCTTAAAAAATAAGTTCACGTTATTTGATCAACGTTGTCTACTCTTACTTACTCACATTAATAGATACGATCAAAACAATAATGAAATACTTCATCGTATGGATAATATTTTCTCAACTGACTACACTGTTCTTGCAAAAACCAACCACTTATCCCTTATTGCTGCACGCTGTCATTTGCGATCATAATCTATCAGACAACATTTGCCTTTAAGCCTTCGAAATCATAAAGTGCTTTTCAAATATTCAATTCACTTTGACATTTGAAATGACCTATACTAACAAAAGTCTACAAGATAGTTAAAAATGAGCTATGCCCGTCTATATCGTTGTACTAGTCGATAATCAAAATTTCAATTATATCCGATTGCAATCCCTCAAAAAATCGATTGAAAGAAGACTGAAACAAAATAGCTATTGATTGAAGTGATTGTGGGTGTGTTCTAATGATCTCGTCTCCAATATCTATCATGTATATCTTGATCTTGTACGAGTAAATAAACCATATCATTGAAGAGAAAAAGAAAAAGAATAATATTCTTTTTCAATTATTTAATGTTTGGTAGACGAAAGAAAAAACCTTCATTTTGTATCATAGTCAAGTGAAATCGGTAGAAAAAGAGACAAATAAACTTTACAGATAAATCCAGTATTAGAAACTACTATAGTGGGTACTGAACCTTGAGTTTTTCATTTTTGAACGAATCGCGGATAGTCATAATCAAGTTTGAAGACCTAATTTTAACGGCAACCAACTTCTCACACTCGCATTTGCTGTTCGAGAAATCATAAAATCAACCTTAAGAGAAGGTTTCCGTTCCTTTTTATGATTCTTTCTTTGTTTATAAAAAAATCGCAAGCTTTTTGTTATTTGAGATCGGCTGATCTGTTCTTCAGATAGGCACAAAATCATGTCTGGACAAAAACGTTTGGCCTGAGGTGGTTGGACAATCATTCGAAGTAGCATCTCAAATGATTTAAAAATTTGACAGAAATAAATTCAATCATTGAACGTAAATGTAGATTCACTGAAATCTATTTTTTCTTGCTGGCATAGATTTACATCCATACAATGCAACGAATGGAATTCAAGATCTAATGTTCTATCCATATCGTGTCGTATGTGTGACAAATAATTACGGTGTTGTAACGGAAGTTCCATCTTACAATTACTGATAAAACATTCCAATAATGATATTATACTGATCAGTACTTTGAACTGTATCTTAGAGTTACTTAGAAAACACTTCTTTTCCCCTTACGCTAGGGTATTATATTAACATACACAAAACATTTCTCATTTGTCTTGTCTGCTTATTTTTATTCAAATATTAATTAAAATAAAAGATTACTTTGATTGATGTCTAAACCAATGATAAATTATCCTCTAGAAAAAAAAGTCGACTATTTTGATGTCTTGATACATACAACAATTCAATTCCTGTGCGAAGAGACTCAAATGAAACCTATGGTCTTCCTGTTTCATAAATATATCGTTTGCTTTAATAAATGGGACAGGAGGCTTGAGTTAATAAGATATGATAACTAGCAGAGCAACAAGATATGTATCATGTCATCGTACAATATGACTAAGACAAGCAAAAACATCGTGAGGACAGACTACATGACTACTCAGAAGCGTCTACCGTACTGATCAAGACTATTGGAAATGACACATGTTTCACATGTCCTGTAAATAACATCAATGCAAAAAGAACTCGACGATTTCTAGTTCTTTCTACTTGTGAAATTTATTCTAAGAAGAAAAAAAGAAACGGCAACAACCGGTTGAAAAACGACATTGCAAATGTAACAAAACAACAGCGAGACATAAAAAGGGATGGAAGAGTTCTTGTTCTGTTAATAAGAATAATAATTTTGCTTTTATTATTTAATTGGTTTTACGTTTGTATCCTCCGTATTGTGTTGATGATGATAAAAATGTTTTTGTTAATGGTTTATAGTGTATAAGAATATTAAGAATAAATGACCAATGTGCTGTCATCACATAGACAATGCCAAGGTAAGCAGCAATAAATATAGCTAAAACGAGATCAAATATAGCTGGTTTAATACGATAAACATATAGTTGTCGTCCTTGATCATCATCGCCATCGAAGAAAACAAATTCTGGATCTTTTTTACTCGGACGTATCGTTGTTTTGGCGACATTTGTTAAATATCGATGCGCATATTGTTCGAGTGCAACAACAATTGGATGAGTTTTAGTTAATAATGATGGCGATCGTGAATAATTCGTTAAAAATGTTAACCATTGTTTTGTAAACGATATTTGATCATAATCAGATTGTTGATTCGATAATAGATAAGTTCGATCGATGATTGATAAGTTTAAATCTGTTTTATTAAATATTAAACGTATCAATGCATCACTTATATATTGATAATTACGTTCGATAGATGCTAATTCAACATCATTTCTTACATCACTTATGGATGAATGTGAACATGATTTCGATGAATTTAAACGTGAAAAAGTAAATCCGGGTAATTTCGACCAAGAATATTTCTCATGTTCCCATGCGACAAAATCAGTTGTTTTTAATATTTTCTTATGAACTTGTTCAAAATTTAACGGACCATAAGTTGATTTTTCACTTAATTGTGTAAGAAGTTCACGTAAAATGCCAGCCTAAAAATACAAAAAGTCATTTACATTCCTAAATATATCGTTTGTTCTAATTAGAATTTACAGAAACTCTAACGAGTAGACTGGAAAATTCGATCGTATGAAATAACTTTCATCAATAGAGATTTACTATTCAAGCATTACATGAATAGATGTAATTTTTTTTAGTGTATCTGAGTAAAGTAATCTGTAAATTAAAAAATCTTAATAAAACATACGGGTTGTGTTTCTTTGGGTGGTTTTGAAACATGCATAAAAAGTTCATTTGATTGGCCCAATGAATCTATACGAAAAATATTTTGCCATTATTATTATCAAGCTTCTGTTGTTTTTTCAAGCAAATCTTACCAAGACATATGACAACATCAATATCATTTGGAAGTTGTTGTTGATGTTTTTGATCATGATAATCATCAATCCATTTCTTACTTCCTTGATAATTTAATTTTCCACCAGCAGCAAATAGAAAATGTAAATTATATTTTGCGCGTGTTGTTTGTTTAGCATATAATTTTGAAAATAATCGAATCAGTTTCAATAAAATTAAAACTCCACTTGCATTTGAATCGGCACCTTGTATTAATCCATTTGCTAAGCCAAGCGCATCATAATGAGCGACAAGTAAAATTTTCGGTAGACGCTCTTCAATACCGTGGCCAATTAATTTTCCTGCTATATTATATAAGACGCTATCTGTTCTTTGACTATATTTTCCAGTATTAACTGATAATTGATAGCCATCAGCTGTAATCATATCATATAGAACAGCTAATGCCGAATCTTTAGTTGAATCACGTCGTGATTCAATTGATTTATATAAATCATTTGTTTGTTGTGTTTCCGGAAGAAAATAAACAGGTATAGGAACACTTTCACCAAGTAAAATTGTTTCTAAATCACATATATCTGATTTTTGTTCACCCGTCCATTGACTATTCGTTGTTGGTGTCACAACAAATAAACTATTAATACCCTTAGAAATAAGGGAACGAAAACGTTCAATAGTTAATTTTTCTAAACGTATTAATGCAGCTTTGCGGTTAAGATTTGTGTTTGACCATAAACGAACTTCACTTGAAACAAATGCTTGACGACTGCCATATGCTTGACCATATAAATCAAATTGAACCATTCGATAGGCTTTAAATTCTTGAGTAGAATCAACAAAAGCGAATGGACTTAAGTATGTCGGTGATAAAATACATATGATTGGTAACCAATAAAATACGAAGCCAGTTAATGTTGTTGTTCGAAAAAGAATTGTATCGAAAATATCGTTTACTTCAAACATAATTCTTTCGATGACTCTGCTTTACGAGATTAAAATTTTAATTTATCTAAAACTCAATAAAGCAAACATCGTATAGGCTTGCAAAATGAAATAAAACATTAAAAAAGTATGTCAAATTATAAACAAACAAATAAAATGCCTACTTATTCTCTTGAGACATTTATGAAAATTCTTTTTTCTCTGCCTCTGTCTTACTTGATTTATAAACCAAAATAAATCCCAATCCCCTATTGTTCATTACTATTTGTTTTTTGTCTGTAAAACAATTTCAGTCGTCGTCATCATCATCATCATCGAAAATTTCTTCTTCTTCTCCGAATACATCTTCATTCGTATTAAGTTTCTTTTTATTTAATACAAATGTATGTTTGAGTTCATCAAGCATTGATATCGTATTTGGCATTGATGATAATTTTTCGAACGATTCATTATCAATAATTGGTTTTTTGTCTTCTTCTTCTTCTTCTTCTTTATGAATTACTGGATTGTCATTATTATTGTCTACATTTCCTAATAAACGTTGTTCACGTTCAGTCCATTCTTGTTTTTTTCCTTGTATTGCTATTTGGAGTTCTTTCATAAGATAATTTGTTTGTTCACGTAAGAATTTTTGATCATAATCATCAATATCTAAACGATTCTCTTTAAGTTCATCGTCATTTAATTTTCCTGTATCACATACAAGAATTTCATCTGTAGATTCTTTTATTTCATCATCAAATCGATGATAACTTGATATATTCGATGAATGATTATCATTGGATACTGTTTCTTCATTATTTGATTGTTCTATTGATGTTTTCGGTTTTATTTGTATTCCTTCAAGTGAATAAACAACGGTTTTAAGATCTTGAATAATACGTTTTAATTGTTCATCGTTAAAAGAATTCTTTTCATTCATATCGAATAATTGTTCACAATTCGAACGAAGTAGAAAATAAGAAGACACTAATTTTTTCGAAGAAAGCTTTTCATTATCAATATAATCAATCATGATAGAACAGTTTTGTTTTATTTTATTCAAACATAGTATCGATTTCGATAAAAGTTTATTATAATTATAAAATATCCCATAGGATTTTGGACGATTTAAATTTATTAATTGTATACATTCATTAATTTGTAAATGACATAATTTTAACAATGAATTAATTGATGTTTGATCGTAGTAATTTGTTATTTTATTATAATCATGTTCATCTGTTGGAATTATTAATGGACCGAACTCCTCGAGATCAATATAACATATTAATTGTTCATTGTGAATTGAATATTGTTGAGCTGTTTGACGAGAATATAGAAAATGTTTTTTTAATTCTTCAAATATTCGGCGACGAAGTTCATATAGTTCATTTTCGAATAAGGACGATGTCGGACGAATTAATTGAAAACCATGAATTGTTATTAGCCATTGTTGATGATTTTGAATCGTATTTAAAAATAAACGAATAGATTTTAAACAATTAAACCAGTTATAATAAATGTAAAGTGGTAAAATAAAATCAATAATAAAAAGATATAAAATATCAATAATAAGTATAATATGAAATAGATATGGTAATGGTAATGTTGATATTGCGTAGATCTGTATACGAAAAAAAAAGAGCATGATAGTTATAGAATTTTAATCATCAATTATTTAGAAGATTATTTTAAAATTCGGTTCACTAATAGGAATACATATAGGTTAATCGAGAAAGACTTTCTCTATCTATCTATTACTGTATTTATCATCAATTCTTATTTGTTGCGTATATCGTCGATGCATAATCTACAGAGGACGCAACTTTCTTTGCGAATACAATTTTTATCGAGTGTAGATAGCGCCTTCTATTGACAACTTACGATAGTAATACACCCAAATATATAATTTTTGAAACGAGATTACCCGGATCATATAGATCTAGCTATAAATATAGGAGCAAAATCTTGGCTTCTTTGCTGATGATTAGGCATTTAAAATAAGTGCTCTTATTCACTGAAATACGTCAGCATAAATGATTTTCAATTCAACACTGTCTACGTGTAATTAGGAGAAATCATAGCATTTCACAATATTCACATGGATTTATATATGTATAGAGACTAGCTCAATCAGTTTAAGAACTACTCATATCAGTAATACTCCTGTGAAAAAAGTCGATTAAAGTGGAAGTATTATAACTTACAAGTAAGAGTAGTAGTAATCGTTTTAACGATGAGTACATTTGTGTGCGATTTGAAAATATGTCTTGCTCAACTTTTGGAAATGTTCTCTTCATGTAATTGTACCATTGAGTATCGAGAATATAATTAAAGATATTTCTGAAGAGTAAATGAATATTAAAAAATGATAAATAATCGAGAATATTAATTTGTTGATCAAGAGTTTCGATTGATTGAATGGTTTTTTGCATGTCACTTGTTGTTGTTGTCGTTGTTGTTGAGGCGAGATTATGTTCAGCCATCAGTTCAGCTACAGGACCCATAAGTGGATCAATATCTTCATCAGAGTCGTTCATTATTAACTTTTGCTTTTTTAATCCACAACCAAATTCTATAAAAGAACAAGGAAATTTTCATTCAGGATAACGGCATAGTGAATATATCATTTATACCGTTACTTATGAACTCAATACGATTAATCTGAAACTAATAACAATTGTTATTATTTAACAAACAAAAAAATCAATGCTTTACAATATTTTTAAACATAATAACTAATTTCATTTATCTGACAGGAATATAGAGAAATTTTACAATAAAACAAAATACAATTTATATGTATATATATATATCTGATAGCATGCAAAGATTTATTTGACATCAAGCATTGGTAAATGATTGTAGAGTTCTTCTGGAAAATAAGAAAAAAATAATGAGTTTTATCTCAAAAGAAAAAGTCAATAAATAAAACATACGTAATCGTTCGACAATAGGCGCTGTTGTTTTCAAATCTTTCTTCTTCTTTTTCAACCATGAAACATGGTCATCATGTAATTTATCTAATTCATTAACTAACTTAACCTTATGATTGAGATTTTCGTTCTCTTCGTCTTCTTCATCATCATCAAAGTTCATATAATGATAATATTTATTAACTTGTTGTTGTAAAAGTTCATCGAATGATGATAGATTTGCATTGGTATCTAATTTTGATAGATGTTCTTGTTGTAAACGTTTCAATTCTTCAACATCACGTCGAAAAACTTTGGCTAATTGAGTTTGATCAAACATAAACCATGATAGATGAGTACGAACTTCTTCTTCTTTATTAACATAATTCGTTTCTAATAATTCGAAACGAGATAATAAATCAATAATACCAGATTTAATCTATAATAAAGAAAATTATATTTATTTTTTTGGAAGAAAAAACAGTTTACTCGGTCGAATTCTTTCTTTAATTCAGTTGTTAGAGCTTTCTTTTCTTCAGTACGTCGTTCAAGATCAACAACTTTGATTGCAATCAAACGAATTTCTTGTTGAAAACGACTTAATTCATTTTGTTGAGCTGCTCGACGTTGACCATGTTTAGCAGCCGATTTCCATTCACGTTCAGCAGACTGAAGTTCTTCAATTTTCTAACAACGGAAAAATATTTTTGTTGCTTATTCATCATATAATTTAAAAAAGAAAAAAGAAATACTTGTTTTGATTCTTGTTCAAGATCACGATGACGTTGTGCTAATAAAATTTCTTGTGCAATGATTTCTTTTGTTAAATTTTCAATAGCTATTTGAGCTTGTTTAACTGAATCATTGTTTATATTTGATGTTGTATCACCAATAATATCGCTCAGATCAAAATCAACCGCTGTTGGTGGTGGACGAGGTGCTTTGTGTTTATAGGCGCTGAGTAATATTTGATATTTACCAAGCCATTCTTGTAACTAAATATCACAGAAAAATGTATTACAAACAATTGCTTAGAGAATGAATAAAATTAGTTTCGCGAAGTTATATAGATCGCATAAACTCCTTCGAGTAATAGTTACTAGATTGTTAGATATTCATACAAAAAATTGCGACTTTGAAGAAACCTATGATTATGTATAAAATCTTTGAATAAGTTACGATGAGCACGTCTTCAATGTTACAGAGCTGTTCTTATTCTACAATCTTATGTTCTCTAGCTTGAATGAATACGAATAGATCTAATTCTACTAAGAATTTACTTCTTTAACAAGTCGTTTATGTTCGTTGGATGCTGTTGTATGTAATTGTTGTTCAAGAAGTAATGTAGAAAGAAGAACTTCATGTTGTTGTTTAAGTTCATTATTTGAACGAATATGACGTTGTAATTCAACATCTGTTTGCTGACTGAACAGCTTATCTGACAATAATTGATTACGATCAGTTAAATGCTTTTTGTCCATCTCTTAACAAATAAATAAAAGAATCAAGATAAGTAACTTTTCTTTTTGCATAAAGTTAAAATACCTTTTTGTTCAACAATTTGTGTCAATTCCATTAGTTTTGATTGTTCATCAGATGATTCTTCTTGTTTTCGAGTAAATTCAATAATATCATTCTCATTCGAAGTTGTTAATGTTGTACAATCATTTTCCAGTCCATTACGAGTAGCTTTCAATTGGTCGCACTATAAAATAAAACCGTAGGACTTTATAAATTGTATTCAGTGATTTTTTTTGACAAGATAAGAGTCTACTATAATGTAAGAAATCCTTTTGAAAAGTTACTAAACTAAAAATGTTCCAAAGTCTACTCTGATTCTTCTCCTCGGGAGCAAAAGTAAAAATAAGTTACATGAATACATTGTTCTCGACGTCATTATACTACCTTGACATTTGTTCACAGTTATTAGATGATAGCCATATAGGAGAGAGAAATGACTTCAACTAGTCCTTGAGAAGATCCGAATATGGTAAACTTGCAAAAAAACAGTTAGGTTTATTATTTCTTACTTCACATTTTAATTGGTCACGTTCAACGGTCATTTCATTCATTTGTTTTTCATGTTTCAATCGATCAACGACTTCAAGATTGTCTTTCGCATAGATATGGTGTCTCAATTCATGCATGGATTCTTCCATAACAACAGGACTATGTCTTCCAATCCAAAACATTTGACGCATCAATACTTTAAATTCAGTTAGATAATTATTGGTTGATATACGTTCTTGTTCTTGTTGACTTTTAAGTACACATGTAACTAATTGTATTAATAATTCAATCATAATCATTATATGTTCATGTGCCATCACACGTTCTGGTTTAATACGTGTTAATTGGTCGAGATTAGAAAGACGATATGCTAGAAGAACTTGTTTTAGATACGCCCAACGATCGGTTAATGATATTTTTCCACCGGGTTTAGAAGGTTGAGGTAGTGGTGGAAATGGTTGAAAACGATGAGCTTCATAACGTGATGGATTTGTTAATTGCTAAATGTAAAATGTCTCATAAATTCTATTGAAAAAAATAAAATCTATTACATACATCGAGTACAGTTAGAATATCTTCAAAGCCATATTTTGTATCATAACGCATTGAATGTGGAATACCAAGTTCAGCAAGTATCTTTTAAAGAAAACAAAGTTAGGAATCTTTGAGAGTAAAAATTTGTTTACCTCATTGAGACTTTCAACAAGACCTTGAAGCGTATATGGTTTAACTCGATTGATCATACTTGAATTTGGTGTATTTGTAACAGCAACTGATGCAGCTAAAGGATGTGTTCGAATACTTGTCGTTGAATTTGGTTGTTGAACTGGATGATGAGGAGCAGGAAATCGATGTGAACTTAAAGGTGTTGCTTGCCAATTTCTTGGAGCTCCTCCCAATGGATTATGCGACATTTGTTGAAGGCTATTATCGAAAAATGATGATGACGCTGATGAAATATTAACTGGTGTACCATAGCCAGTGGTCATCGGACCTTTTTTACCAGCGAAAACTGAACCTTTTTTCATCATAATCTGTTTTAAAAATATATGATCGTTTTTCTTCTATTCTATTGAACTGAATTGACCGATTGAAACTCGTTTCATGACGAGACACGATCTTTGTTCATTGTCGCCATGCGTCCTGTAGTGTTTGCCTCGTTCCGAAACCTTTTTCTTATTGATCAGTGACATCTGTAACGAGAATTTTTTTCAGAATGAAGAAGCTATTCAAGTGTACAAATCGTAATTATTTGAAATAGAGGATTTAGTTGTTGAGAAAAAAATTCACAAAAGAAAATTTAGTTTGGATATAAAATGTTTGCATAACATATTTGGATATTACGTTGATGACTTTAAAATTCGTTCCGCGCAATTCTTCAGGCACTACCTATCGAGAGAAAAAACTACCAACAATATCTGCATTAAATGCAGTGCATGCTATTGCATTTTTAAACCAGATTAATCTCCATTGATTCAAATCTTCATTCTGCAGTATGATGTTCATTGAAAATATAGCTTGCACAACGGAACGTTCTCCCATATCTGCCTGTATTTCCGCGGATATTTTAATTCTTGCTTGTTTCTCTCTTCATCATCGTACGTGAACTAATAGCTGTACAATTTACTGAAAGTATCAGAAAAAGAACTTAGATTCCACCAAAAAAGTTAATTAGAGTAACTTAAGTGGAGCTAAGTGTAAAAAGTAAAAATAGTACGCCTTAGAATAGTTGATATAAATTTTTTATTTTACATTAAAATAGAACGTTTTGTTTACAAAACACCTAGCTCAGATGACACTCTATCCATAGGTGCAAAAATCAACTGAAAATCCTGTACGTAGACCTATCTGCAGGGTATTCTTTGATCACTATTTTTCATGTTTACGATCACTCCCGTGGGGGTGAATGCATAATCATGCTTGCATCACTGGGGCAAATGTATAATCTGAGCAAATTTTGCTGGGCACACTAAAACTCAACTTTCATCAGACTCATAAGGAATTATAAGGTATTCTCAACAGAAAAATAGTTCACAATGATGAGCTTATTAATTTGGAAGCATAAAATAGCTATTTTTCAAGGGAATTTTGCCAAGCCTGAGATTTACCTAATATTTTCTTCTCATTATAAGAAGTTAACATCTATTTTGGTTATATTTATGCTGTTACTGAGGGAAAAAATCTTTTTCTAATTTATTAAAATTATTAATTAATCAACGTAATTATTGGTTTCGGCTCAATTTTATTAAATAAACTAACACTTTGATATATTTTTCATACAAGCTAGGCGTAAATAACTGCGATCTATCTTAAAACAAATTCTTAGGTAAATGTGAAGAATTCTTAATCTAGCTACAAAATCTTTCGATGGCCTGCTACCAATTAGATATACGTATGTACGTTAATAATATTTTCTTAACGTTTTTTAGATCGTTTGTAAATGATCAAAGTATTTTTCTTATTTGGCATCAGATTCATCATTTTATAAAGCTAACTCGCTATTAGTATACTTTATTTTTTAACGAGTTAAATAAATGAGATCTATCAAGATTGGCCATTCAGTAGAACAAGCGGATGTTTTGCAATGATTCTTCTGGATTCACGTTGAAATTATCATTTTAATTACAGAGTTGAATTCGAAATTGAAAAAAAAATAATCAAAAGACTTTGTCATGCATCGCCGATCGTAGCATTATTATTCAATGTGGTTGTTACGATTCAAAACTTCCCGAGATCATATCTAGAGAATGATTGAAATGATCTAATTATAGTTATAGCACGAAATCTTTATTGTTAATATAGATTCGAAAATAGTTCAGCTAAAAACTAGATCTATAGTTTAATATTTTTAATTGAACTGAGTAATAAACTTGCTTGAAAGTCACTCAAGTTCAAAATTAAACATCAATTGAATAAATATCTGAATACTCCGCTATGTTTCTTTGGGACGATGTTACTGTCTGAATAAATTTTCTTCTATTTATCAAAATTTACTTTGAACATTTAATAATTCAACCATAACTGCCAATTCAGAGACATGAAACACAACTAACGTAAGTTGTCCTTACTTGGTCATCACAGTAGTAATTTATAGAATACTGTTCGCGGATATTTCTTCGAACTCTTACGTAAATATAACGAAACTCACTTGCAACTTAATAAAATAAAGTATAGCGATGATCTTTGCGCTAGACTTCGATGAGTTTGCAACCTGGTTCAACAATTACATTTGGATATCACTGTAAAGCATTGAAAATAATAAATTTTTCATAGCAAAACCACCTGACTGAGCTGAACAACCCGTTGTACCCAAATTCAGCTAGAACTCATCATATATAAGTTACTGAAGCTATGGAACACTAACAAAAAGCTATAGAAAACAATCCTACTCTTATTTATTACATAATAACCCAATGATCTATTGAAAAATTAACCCTCGGCGTCTCTTTTCTCCTATTTTTAAAGGGTACACTGACTCTAAAATGTTACAGAGCAGATATTACGACTCTTAGTTTCTATTGACGAGTATGAAAGATTACATAAATCTCAATATTGGCGAAATTCCGTGGAAAAATAGCTATTTTATGCTGTAGTTTGGCATTTCGCTCTCGTATAACCAACAAAATGCACATAAAAATCATGAAATTGATTTTTGAAATGCTTCCAAATTAATAAGCTCATCATTGTGAACTATTTTTCTGTTGAGAATACCTTATAATTCCTTATGAGTCTGATAAAAGTTGAGTTTCAATGTGTCCAGCGAAATTTGCTCAGATTATACATTTACTCCAGTGACACTAGCGTGATTATGCATTCACCCCCACGGGAGTGATTGTAAACATGAAAAATAGTGATCAAAGAATACCCTGCAGATAGGTCTACGTACAGGATTTTCAGTTGATTTTTGCACCTATGGATAGAGTGTCATCTTAGCTAGGTGTTTTGTAAACAAAACGTTCTATTTTAATGTAAAATAAAAAATTTATATCAACTATTTTAAGGCGCACTATTTTTACTTTTTACACTTAGCCCCACTTACTCTACGAATAAGAAATGAAGTAAAATTTTATATTCTGTTGAAATATCAGGACGAAGAAAAAGAGGAATAAACCAAAGAATAGTTTCAGATTACTTCAAAAGTAATGCAATGAAGAAGTTCATAACTTAAAACTAGTTTTTCTCATTTTGTAATAAATTTTAAAAAAATTTTCACTGCTGAATCTTGATAGTGCAGCCGAAAAGTTCTCTAAATATTCGATTTTTATCAGCAAATCACCGTGTTGAGTTTTACGTACGATGAAAATGATCAATTTGTTCTAGAATTCATAAACCATTTTATATTATTCAGTTGAAAGCGTAGATTCTGTCTTACTGCAATACCTTCCAGCTGTAAACACAAGTTTCCTTGAATAAAACGAAACTGTACCAAAAAATTTCTACTCTTTTAGCTAGAAAAATTATTTTACATGCCACTCAATAGAAGCCTTCGGGTGATCATTCGATATAATATGCAATCTATAGACGATAGTTTTTCAATTAAACAGTTGGCAATTTTCTGCCCAAAATTCTATTGTTGTGTACCAGTAGCTGCTCTGCATGATCGGTGGTAATCTGAATGAAGATGGAATCTAAAATTTCTTTTGGATAGCACAATTCGTATATGAAGAAAGAAATTTTCTATAGTTTTATAAGAATAGTAAAAAAACGTAAGAATTTCTTTAGTAAAATTAAAATTTTCTCTGAACAACAAAAAATTGATTATTAAAAGCAATAAATTGTTTTAAGAAGGAATTAATCGGCAAATTTTGGATATCATTTGGATAATTCATTATACATCGAAATATTTTTTTTCGACAAATTGCTTTCAATGAAACACTTTTTTCTTTTGATTGTTGAATAAATGCATTGACAGGCTCTTTCCAATAAATCCAAACATGACGAAATATATGTTCAAAATGAAAGCTTTTTACATTAACATCTGGATTGTTATAAATACATTCGAACAGACGAAAAAATTTGCCATACAACACGCGTAAAGTTGATTGTAACAGTTCGTTTTGTTTTATTTTCAATGTCTGTTCGAGTTGTGAACAAGCATTTTCTGCCAGACGATTTTGTATTTCAACTTGTACAGTTCCCAATGCAAATATAAGCTCTGTAAGGATTTCACTTGCTTGAACACTTGTTTTAAATTCATCATAATTATGCATTAATGTTGACAGGCGATTTTTATATAAAATGCAGCAAATATTCACATGATGATCAACATAGGATAATTTTTGTTCGAATGATAATTGTGGTAATATAGAACGTATATAACGTAATGGAAATTTTGTTAATTGTCCACCACGATCAATTATTGCTTGAAGAAAATAAATATTGCCATGATAATCTGTACTGTGATCTAATATATGATTGAGACGTAAACTATCTGTATTATATTGTATATGTGTTGGTTTTAATTTCTTCAATGAACATAAACATTCAAGCCAATAATCGAGTGGTGTATGTACTTCAGAATTTTCGATTTGTAATGTTTGTTTATTTGTATATGGAAGAAGAATTTCGCATAGTGGTAAATTAAAATGGCGACATGCATGATGCAGTGAACTGTAACTATTGAAATCAATTTTGTTTGTATCTAAACACGATAGATGATGTTTCAAAAGATATTTTATTAAGTCAACAGGGCCATTTTTGTGCGAAAGCATTAAAAGACAATGACGACCTTGTTCATTGGTAGTATTTATATCTAATTTACTTGGCAATAGACGATGTTCAAGAAGATATTTTGCACAAGCAAAACGATCTTGTTCTATGGAACATAGTAGCAATGGTTTATGACAATATGAACTGTCATCATCAATTGAATCCAAACAATATTCGATTTCATTAAAAAACCAATTAAGAAATGGTTCGTGTTCGTCGCCGTTTTGTAATTGAATTAACCGATTTAATATATGAATTAATTCTGGATTAATACGTTCGTATATTAAATCTTTTAGTATCGTTATAGACTTAACTTGTTCTAGTTTTAATGGAATATAAGATTTCCAATCATTTTCATCGAATCTGGTCGAATCATAAAATACATATAAATAATTTTTATTTAGAATTAGAAAAAATCTTACCTACTTGTTGGTAATAGTTCGTTCGATATCATCTTCATTGGTACTTGATGTTGGCTCGGAAAATTCGTCTAAATTTGACAAATGAATAAATTGAAACAAAAATATATTTTCAATTACGAACTTGTCGTTATCGATTGAGACATTGAACGTGGTATTGGTTTCACATCGGTTTCTATTTCATTGGCAGTTATATTAAGATTATGATTAGATATTCCTTAAACGATAGATCATAGACAAAAAAAAATATTTTGAACTATTTTCGTATTCTTACTTCTTTCTAAATTACCAAATGGAACAACATTTATCATAGACATAGGGCGTGTCGAGTTATGATGATGATGATGATGTTCTTCATAATATTGATTTATTCCCGCGTAACTTACAGGTCGCGATGTACCGTTTGGTTGACGTGATGAGGTTTGTAATATTCTTCGAAATGTTGTTCGTCTTTTATTATTTTCTTTGCTACCATCTTGTTTACCGTTGTTGCTGCCCATATGATAATTGAGAAACGAGTCTGCCTCTCTCTCTCTCTTCTTCGATTAACGCCTTTGAGCAAGAGATTACAGCGAATAATATTCACCTGTACTTTACTACCTATATGTCATATGCAAGCGTGTAATGTGCTAGATATCCTTGACAATTTGTTGTTATTCGTATGTGAGCCGTCTCGTAATTTGATCAGAAAAGGCATAACTATTACGCTCATACGGCTGAATGATTCTTCTTTGTCGAAAAAAACGAAAAAAAGGTTGTTGAAAACGAAGTGAGTCGAGACTAAAGCAAAAATAGCCTTTACCTTGATAATAAAACCGTCTCAAGAACGTTTTCAAAAAATAAAAACACAAAATTATATAATATTTTAGTTAATTAGTTTGCATCTCATACTGGTTCCTATCCACAAGAGAAAAAGAAAAAAGTAAAACATTGTGCAGAAAGAACCGAAAGAACAAAAAAAATGATACGACTGATCATCAAGGATACTTATAGCTATATCAGATGATTTGATGTTGGCCCTGTCTGGCTGGCTAGTTTTTCGTCACAATAAAGACATGCGGATTATTAGTATTTTTTTTATAACGAATTAATAGTCTATTGTTTTACAAGGATAGATGATTTATATTCAATAATTAAAGCAAAACATTCTATTAAATATAGAATCGATTTTTTTTTGTATCAGATGAGGTTTTTTCCTCTATTTATCAGAAATTCTATTCATGATAACTCATTACTGAATTTTGCTATAAACGCAAAACATACATTTTTGTTCGTTGAAAATTTAGCAGCTAGTTTTATTGTAATTAGATTGCAAAAGAATAGAAATTGAGCATAGCCTTCTTCTAAAATAATAAAATAATTGTGATGCCTCGAAGACTAGATCAAAAAAACAATTGCACTGTAACCTTGATTTAGAAGCAAGAAGCTCTAGTAGCAAATGTATGCTATCGTTTTCTCCAAATAACATACTAAACATTATATTGTTGAGCTGATTAATAAGTAATCGAGTCTTTCACTTTGCATAATGAAAAAGAAACCTTACACACCAGTAGCAGTGCTAAAATAGCTACTTAATGATTTTTAGAATAGTATTTATTCGTTATAATATCGAAAACAATATCTCTGGAACATAATTTTATTGAAATAAAAGAATATTTGTGTAGGTATTTTGAAAATACGAGAAAAAAACACGGTAGAAAAATTAATCATCAGTTGTAGACAAGATAATCTTTTTCAGTAAAGCTTCCCTTTCCTTTTTCTCTGCTTTTTTTCTTCTAATGCTATACCGATTCTCACCTACGCTGCGTTTCATTACATTCATCACGAGTAGTTATTATATTCTACGCGCTACCCATTTGGAAGAATAAAAAGAAGATTGAACGATATGGGTAATCAACAACACCATCAATTGCCCGATGATTTACCATTGCATGATTATCGTTATTTAATGAAAAACACACATTTATCACCGCATGTTATTCAAGGTTGGTATCGAGAATTGCTAACCATCTGCCCAAATGGTCAATTAAATAAAAGTCAATTTATAAAATTCTACATGGGATTAGAAAATTCAACAACAAAAAATGCTGAACGTATTGCTGAAAATGTTTTTGAAGCATTTGATGATGATGGTTTGTATTTTCATTGAGTACGAACGGTTCATCTAGTAGATCTTCTACTTTATTTGTGCATGTTTAGATAATAATCGAATTGATTTTAAGGAATTTCTCATTGCCTATGCATTAACATCCAATGGGGAACCCGTAGAAAAATTAAAATATACATTTTCGATATTTGACGTCGATCATTCTGAAACGATTGAGTTAAGTGAAATGATTGAATTATTAAAAAGACTCTTTACAATAACAGGCAATAAAATGAAAACATATTCACCGGAGTCTGTTGTTCATGATATATTTCCTACACTTGATCTTGATCAAAATCAATCAATCTCAAAAGAAGAATTTATTCATGGTTGTCTACACAATGATTATATTCGTCATATTTTCACCTTTTGACAAGGAATATCCGCCAAAGAATGAATCATTCGTCTATATGAATACAGAGACACACGCTAGTTTTGTTGTAATTGTTTTGTATTTTATATGTTGTGTTCATTGTTTTTTTTTGAAATTCAGAATATTAATGATGGATATTTTAAAGGCAAACCACTGAATTGAATTTGCTACGTGAAAAATTTCTTGTATAGTCGAATTGAAATATGAATTATTATCCCAACAAGCAAAAACATAAAAATGGCGCCAAAGAAAAGTATTCCCAAAGGAAATTTATTGGAAAGTCTAAATAAAGTGTGCACCCATGGTATATAGAGAATCGATTACAGTATTCTATATATCACCAGTGAGGGTGAAATATTTTGATTTTAGAGTAGTTTTAGGATTTCTAGTAGAACTACTGTGCTAGTAAGTTACAAAAACTGAAGATGAATTTTTAGTTCATGTTTTTCTGAACTTGTATCGTACAGTATAAAAAAAGATATTTCACTATCAAAATGGGTAATAGACACACAATCTTAGGTGCTGTAAATTCTAGTTAATCTGGCTTAGAGGTTTTTTTCTTACAAATCTTTTTCAGTTCAATTCACAAGCGCAGTGTAAGTCTCGATTCTATCAATTTTATGCAAGAAGACGCAATTATTTTAACCTCTTTTTTGAAGCATGAATCTAGACCAGTGTTATTGGATAAAAAAAAGGCGCGAAAAATAAGAAAGGGTTAATCACGTTGTTCTGTGAAAGTCAGTTGAACTGTAACTGCTCTCTTGATCGTGTCTCTGTTTTTCTATTAACAATAAAACGATTCTTTAGCTAAAGCTAACATTTGGTAGCAGCGAATAATGCCGATTGAAGGTACAAATTTAGAAAATTTATTGGAGCGAGTAATTCAAATGAACGCTATCATTATCCAAGAAATGCATGAACAACGAAAATAAGTACAAGCTCAACAGGCACTTATTTCAACATCGCTGCATCTACAATCATCGACAACACCACCACTTCATTCATCGACTGATACATCATCACGATCAGTTAACAAGATAAACGTTAAACCGAAAGAATATAATGGAACAAGTGAAGAAAATGTTATTACCTGGTTAGTCAACCAATATAACGAAAATATTACCAGAGAGTTCATCACTGCGCTTGATGATTGACAAAGTAACTTTTAGTTTTTTATATAATTAAAAATAAGTTGAACATTTTCTTTTTAAGCGTCCCAACGTGTGGCGCACGCACCCTATATTCGCATCAGCAATATACAAATTCATTGCTGAATCGTTTGGCTTATTGTTCAAACAAGTAGTAGAAGAGCTTGTTCAATATATGGTTTATTTCTACAAACTTAAATGACATTGAATTGTTTATTGTGTTTCTATTACTATGCATTGCATATTCAATATCTTCATATGGAGCATATTTTTTTTTTCTATTATTGGTTATGTTTTGTGAAACTTCTTTCTCACTTGTTGCCTATTATTTGTGATATCGTTTTTCTATTGTTGGCAACTATTTGCGACATTTCTTTTCTACTGTTGTCTATTGTTTGTCATACATTTTCAAGCTAAATAAATATCTATGAAAGGCACAATTTTCATATAATTATTCTCACAAATTGCCTATCAATCCTGATGATCAAATTTATAGACAACAATAAACAATAACATAATGGAGCCACAAGTGAACATAAAATCTATATGAAAGTGCATTCAAGATAAAAAACATCAATTGAGAATGCTACTGATGGAAACAATTATATATAAAACGATAACATTTTTATAGAACAAGATCATCGCTTAAGCATAGCGGAGCAAATAATTATACTATTGAATGAATACTGACTCTCAAAATATTCACCAGTGCCGAACTTGAAATTTGAATTGAACCGAACCTTCAAGTTACAGGTTTCACCAACTGCGGTTTTGGGCTACAATACAACTCAAGAACAGCTCATTTTATCTTGCTAAACATTTCTAAGAATTTATACACAAGCGAAGCCTACACATTCAACAATTTTCAGCAACAACACTGTGCGTGGGTAGACCAGCGTATCAGTCTTTCCTCATACCCACACTTACCATGTTGTTTCTGTGTGTAGACCCGTTGTCCGCCCTTCCCAGCATCCACACTACCCACGTTGTGTTTGTGTGTAGACCAGAGTATGTCCACCTTTCCTCGCACCCACG